TATTATTTTATTTTGCAAGATGTTTTATTTTATTAAATAATAATTTAATTGAATTATTTTCCGTCTCACAGATTATTCTTTTAATTTTGTTTAAGTTTTTGATAAACAAGCACTTTTTCCTCAGTTTTCCTCAGCTGAGTGTCAGTTCAATTACTCCTGCAAGCTACAGAAAGGTAATATTAAAATGGCGTGATATACAGTCTGACATTTGAGCATAGAGTAGACGAAATACAAACACGCTTAAAACATTTTCTGAACCCTTAGAAATCATGAAAGGCCATGCAGATACAAACAGATGGAGCTAAATGGCCAGACAGCAATACGCTAATATTATGTAAGGGAATTACAAACACTCAAGTCAACAGAATATCAAAATGAATCCTCATTACAATATTAATGTGTTCCTGGTTTTACTGTGCATGATTCATCGATGCACATTATTCCAAGTCAAACACAGAGGCCTTTATTGGGCCGTGTAGTGTTTGTTTATTTAATAAAATTGCTTATTTTAGCTATGTTTGGTTTTACTTTAAATTGTATTAAATTTATTCATATATTATTATTATTATTATTATTATTATGTATTTATTTATTATTATTATCACTGAATTTTGTTTACTTTTTATGGTTTTAGTACTAATTATTATTTTTGTTTAAACAACTTTTATCAATAATTTTATTTTATTTATTTTTATTTTATTATTGTTCTATTATAATTTTTTATTATTTATCGTTTATTTTGGGTGTGTATGATTTTTTATTGTGTTATTATTATTATTATTATTATTATTATTATTATGTATTTGTTCACTTTTTATGGTTTTAGTATTTTTTTGTTATTTTATTATTTTATATTTTTTAAAATTATTAAATATTGTATTTTTTATTTTGTTATCATTTATTTATTTATTCATTTATTAGTATTATTACATTTTGTTTACTTTTTATGGTGTATTATTTGATATTTTGTTTAAACAATTTTTTTTATCAATAATTTAATTTATTGCTGTTTTTTATTATAATATATTATGTATTTTTTATAATTTATTATTGTTTATTTTGGCTATGTATGATTTTTATTATAAAAATAATAATAATTATTATTATTATTACTATTAATATTCATTTTTTTACTTTTTCATGTTTAAGTATTATACATTTTTTTATTTAAACTTTTATAAATTAAAAAAAATGTTTTTAATATTTTAGTTATTATTTTATATATATTCTTATAGTTATTTTATATTATATTTTATTATGGCATTCTTTTCTATGTTGTTATTATTATTATTTATTTTTTTATTTGTTTGTTTTACTGTTTTATTAATATCTTATAATTATAATAGTTTATTTTATATTATATTAATTTTTTTATTATTATTATATTTACATTTTGTTTACTTTTATTGTTTTAGTATTATTTTATGTTTTTGTTTAAACAACTTTTATTAATAATATAATTTATTATTATTATTATTATTGTCATTATGTCACGTTCGAGGTTAGGAAAAGGAGCGAGGACTCAGGTGCAGCAATAATGGGTTTTTATTTATTATAAAATGAAAACAAAAAAGCAAAACAAACAACCCCGAGGGGGAAAAACTCTAATAAAACAAATAAATGAACAAACAAACAAACTTGACTGGCTGGACAAGACATGGCTAGACACAACAGGACAGGAAACTTTCGACAACGAACTGGCAAAGGACTGAAAACATGAGGGGGGTTATAAAGCAAAAAGTAAATTGACACACAGGTGAACATGACAAACTAATAATGAGTAAACAAGGAGGGTGGGACTAGACAATAGACGGGAGAGCGCATGACACAGAGAGACAATACAAGCCATGCGCTCACATAACACAACACTGAAGCACACGACAAAAGCACGTGACCACAATGTAAACACCGAGCCACGTGCTTTGACAAAAGACGCAAGACACGAGCACACGATGAATGAAAACACTCACCGTGCGCTCACACACGCAGCGTGCATGCTTCATCCCAGCGCCGACCAAAACCGAAACCAACAAGACTGAGACGCTGGGAATGAAACACCACGCTGCTGACAGACGAAAACACAAACAAGAGTACAAGAGCACACGCGTCTGAGGGACGCAGAGCGCGCGCGCGGCCGCGTCAAGCAGGAGCGCGCACACTCTGCGTACACCCACGACGGCGCGCGCGCACACAGAGACAGAAACAGGACCAGACATGGGTAGAGTCAGAGCTCTGCCACCAAAACAAGAATTTACAAGACCAAAGTGGCAGAACCCTGACACTAGCCCCCCCCAAAAGGGACGCCACCTGGCGTCCCTAAAGGGAACATCCAACAAGGTACAAGACAGACAAGAAACACTACAAGACAACAAAACAGGCAACAATCAACAGACACAAGACAGGGAGGTGAACAGGCAAGACGACATGAAGGGGGGGAGGGAGGGAAGCCAAGCCATACTCAACAAGACAAACAAGGGAGGGATGGGAGGACAAGACCAGGGTGGATTCAGTGGGTCGGGGGCCCCGGCAGGGAGCCAGGGTGGAGCCGGAGGGTCCGTCCAGGGTGCAGGGAGGGAACACCAGGGAGGAGCAGGAGGGACGACCCAGGGAGAGTCTATCAGGGGAGACAAGGCAGAAGGTCGGTGGGGAGCCGGCTGGGCTGGAGGCCTGTGGGGAGCCGGCTGTGGTAGAAGCGGCTGGGCTGAAGCCGGCGGGGCTGGAGACCAGAGGGGAGCCGGCAGGGCTGGAGACCAGAGGGGAGCCGGCAGGGCAGGGAGCCGGGCTGGTGCCGGCAGGGCTAGACGTCTGGTTGGCGCCGGCAGGGCAAGGAGCCGGGCTGGGGCCGGCAGGGCAAGACGTCTGGGTGGTGCCGGCAGGGCAAGGAGCCGGGCTGGTGCCGGCAGGGCAAGACGTCTGGGTGGTGCCGGCAGGGCAAGGAGCCGGGCTGGGGCCGGCAGGGCAAGACGTCTGGGTGGCGCCGGCAGGGCAAGGAGCCAGACTGGGACCGGCACTGAGCTGTGCTCAGGGGCTGGAGCCGACACTGGAGGGCGCTCTGGGGCTGGAGCCGACACTGGAGGGCGCTCTGGGGCTGGAGCCGACACTGGAGGGCGCTCTGGGGCTTGAGCCGACACTGGGGGGCGCTCTGGGGCTGTAGCCGACACTGGAGGGCGCTCAGGGGCTGGAGCCGACACTGGAGGGCGCTCTGGGGCTGGAGCCGACACTGGAGGGCGCTCTGGGGCTGGTGGTATGGTGGAGGAGCCCTTTCTCCTCCTACGCTTCCTTATTTTTGGTGGCGGGAAGCTGGCCACCTCTTCAGACACTGCTGGGCACTCCACTACCTCTGAAAGAGTTGCAGTGTCTGTTTCGGGCACCTCGAGGGATGATGCTGCCGCCAGGGTGGTTGCTGGATGGGCTGCAGTGGGTCTAGTCACCTCTAGGTGGGTGACAGGTGAGGAGGGCCCGTCCTTCCTCCTCCGTCTCCGTTGGTGGGTCATCGGAGGACTGGGGATTTGGCAGTCTGTGAGCGGGATGGGCGGTGGGCCAAGGGGAGGCAGGCCACCATCTCCCTGGCTGTGGTACAAATAGCTCACAAACTGCCAGAATGACAGTATCCCCAGCATCCCCATCTCCCAGGCCTGAAGGGGGCTGTTGAGTCCAGCATTGAAAGCCTCCTTCAGTGCTGTGGTGGTAAACTCAAGCCCTTCTGCTGCGTAGACAAACTGGTAGGCAAACTCCTTGATTGTAGATACCCCTTGATGGAGTGAAAGGAGTCTGCCTAAACGCTCCTTCTGCTGGCATGCAGAGGGTCGAGAAGTGGGAGATGGGAAAAGGAAGATACCCATTTTTCTGCTGAGTCCTCTGGTGGCCAGTTCGTACTGTCACGTTCGAGGTTAGGAAAAGGAGCGAGGACTCAGGTGCAGCAATAATGGGTTTTTATTTATTATAAAATGAAAACAAAAAGGCAAAACAAACAACCCCGAGGGGGAAAAACTCTAATAAAACAAATAAATGAACAAACAAACTTGACTGACTGGACAAGACATGGCTAGACACAACAGGACAGGAAACTTTCGACGACGAACTGGCAAAGGACTGAAAACATGAGGGGGGTTATAAAGCAAAAAGTAAATTGACACACAGGTGAACATGACAAACTAATAATGAGTAAACAAGGAGGGTGGGACTAGACAATAGACGGGAGAGCGCATGACACAGAGAGACAATACAAGCCATGCGCTCACATAACACAACACTGAAGCACACGACAAAAGCACGTGACCACAATGTAAACACAGAGCCACGTGCTTTGACAAAAGACGCAAGACACGAGCACACGATGAATGAAAACACTCACCGTGCGCTCACACACGCAGCGTGCATGCTTCATCCCAGCGCCGACCAAAACCGAAACCAACAAGACTGAGACGCTGGGAATGAAACACCACGCTGCTGACAGACGAAAACACAAACAAGAGTACAAGAGCACACGCGTCTGAGGGACGCAGAGCGCGCGCGCGGCCGCGTCAAGCAGGAGCGCGCACACTCTGCGTACACCCACGACGGCGCGCGCGCACACAGAGACAGAAACAGGACCAAACATGGGTAGAGTCAGAGCTCTGCCACCAAAACAAGAATTTACAAGACCAAAGTGGCAGAACCCTGACACATTATTATTATTATTATTATTATATATTTTTTATTATTTATTATTGTTTTTTTGGCTATGTATGATATTTTCTGATTTTAGTATTATTTAATTTTAATGTTTAACTTTTATGAATTATTTATTTCATTTTTTATTATTTAATTATATTATTATTATTTTATAACTATAATTATTTTATATTGTATTATATTATTTTTTATTTTTGTACAGTATTTGTTTTAACATTGGTTAATATTTTGTTTTCCAATGTGTGCTTATGTAATTTATGATAATAATAAAATACATAATTGATGAATTTTAATCAGTTTCTCTCTTTCTGTGTGTGTGTTTGCAGTTTGGATCATGCCGCGGAGCCCCATGTCTAGTGAGGAGGAAATGGCTCAGAGTTTTTCCGACTCGGTCAGTTCAGACTCAGACAGCTCCCGAGATGAGCCTCCGAGGCTGGACCGACCGACCAGTGGCCGTCAGGACAACAACACTACGCTTATCTGTGTGGTCATCCCTGACCTGCAGCAGTCTGTGCGTACACACACACACTAAACACACACACTCTCTAAAACAGACACACACACGCTGCTGGGAAGTATGGATCTTTCTAAATTATATTATTACAGTAAATTGCACTCCTCATACAGTTTATCTTCTCTGGAGAGCTGTTTGGGTTTTATTAGACTAAAAAAATGGACAGTATGCAACTGGGAGAGCCAACAAGTATTTCTGACCTATTTAACAGACGCAAAGTAGAAAATTACATTGTCATGCTTTACATGAGGAAAGTTCAGAGTCATTTAACCTTTTCTATATCAACACAAGGCAAGCTACAACATAGCATAAGTAATCCTAAAAGGCTAGTTCATACAAAATAACAAATACTTAAATCATCCTTATAACAACTTTTTTCTTTACTTATTAATTTTGCTTCGGCTTAGTCCTTTATTTATTAGGGGTCCCACAGTGGAATAAATAAAAAAGTTGAACCAGCGACCTTCTTGCTGTGAGGTGACCATGCAAACATCCGAGCCACCATGCCTCCTTCTTTAATGAAATTCATCTTTATTTCTACAGCGCTTTTTACAATGCAAATTGTGTCAAAGCTCAACCTAGATAAAGAAATAAGAGTAAACGCCATAACTTTTCAAATTCCAGTAATTCAGGCAGGCAGGAGAGTAATGTAGAAGGCTGGTGTATTTCTTGTCCAGTTGAAACTGCTTCAGTACATTCATTCATTAATTTTCCTTCGGCTTAGTCTCTATTTCAGAGGTCGCCACAGCGGAATGAACCACCAACTATTCCAGCATATGTTTTTATGCAGTGGATGCCCTTCCAGCCGCTATCCAGTATTGGGAAACACCCATACACACTCATTTACACACACATACACAAATACTTTGTACACAATTTAGTTTATCCAATTCACCTATAGCGCATGTCTTTGGACTGTGGGGAAACCGGAGCACCTAGAGGAAACCCACACATACATGGGGAGAAGATACAAACTCCACTCAGAAATGCCAACTGCAACCTTCTAACTGTGAGGCGACAGTGCTAACCACTGCGCCACCGTGCCACCCATGCTATAGTTCATTTTAATATAAATGTCACTATTGAAGTTTAAGAAACAATAGATTATGTACATATGTGTGTGTGTGTGTGTGTGTGTGTTTGTGTAATAAGTTAAAAGAACACTCAAGGCTCAAGTCACCTAGAGTTATATCATTTTTTTTATAATTTCAGTCAATCTCTGCACATTATTTCTTAAAACAAGACAATATTTTTGCTTGTCTAAAAAAATGCTTCTTATTTTAAAAATTAGTCGATATTTGGACTAGAAACAAGTCAAAAATCTAAGTAAAAAAATATTTTTTTGAAGTGTACCCAAACATACTTGCAGCCAATCAGCAGTTAGGGGTGTTTCTTGTAGCAAGAGCAGAGATATAAAAACGGTCCGAGTTCTTGTTGGGTTATGGGTCATTTGTTGTGGTGCTTTCAAATATCAACACCATTTGGACAAAATATTGCCTAATGCATCTTTAAGTTGCAGATTGACTGAAAGCTGCTTGGTTTGAAAGTAACAACATTGTTATATATCGCAACACTATTTTGCGTATAGATTTTTGCCAGAAAAATGTGAACGCATCATTTCAATTTCTACTTTTTATACAAGTCAAACAAAAAAGAAAGTTGAAAGTGGAAATCTATGACATAACCCTTTTAATCTTCTGTTTTACTTACAAAATGTCATCCTGTCAGTCAACAGCCTCAGTCTGCGTTGTCTTTTCTGGCTCTCTCCCTTCTCTCCATTAGAGCACACAAATGTTTTCTCCGAGTTAATCTGTACACCTGCCACAGCCTGATAAAGCGTCTCTCTTTTTGCCAGAAATCCATGCGCTTCAGTCCTGATGCCACCGTGTGGGTTGCTAAGCAGCAGATCCTGTGTACCCTCACCCAGAGCCTGCGGGACGTGCTCAACTACGGCCTCTTCCAGCCGGCGGTGGACGGCAGGGAAAGCGGATTCCTGGAAGAAGAGCGGCTGCTCAGAGACTATCCGCTATCCTCCACTAAAGGCATCCCCACTCTTGAGGTAATGCCAGTTTCAGCATGTCCAAAAGCTACATTTGGAATTGTGCATTAATGGAAGACAAACCATATTTGAGCAGTTCCAGCATTACGGATGTGATATTTGCAGTAAAAACTCAAGACCTAAATTCACATGTTATATTGAAACATCTGTTTATATTTTCCAAAACAACTAATCACAGAGTTAAGGGATCAGAAAAATATTAATCCAAAAAATATATATAAAAAATAAACATGGGTTATGTATCTCACCAAAAATTATGACCACAAGCATACTTTGTAGAATTTTGTGAACTAAACTGCACAACCCAAAAGAAAATTTTTTGGCTCACTATAGAACAAACATGACTGATTTAATTTTATTTTATTCTGTATTTATTAGGAAAGAGCCTTGTTATGGATGTGGCAGATATGAAATTGCCTCTTGTGTGACATTGGTAGATCAAATATAATTGTTTGAAAACATTGAGAGAGACATTTTTGATTATTTTTCAATTGCTTTAAAATACTAGGTTTCGCTATTTTGGTAAAAACCTAATTCTTTTATGGCAAGGTTGACATTTGTTTGGAATTAATTTACAGTACAAAAATATCATGCTTTTGTGGGACTACTGTAGGTGTGTAATGTTTCCATATAAAGTTATAAATCTTATTTTCGTGCTATTAGGTAATACCAGTTCCCCCATGTCCAAAAGCTATATTTGGAATTGTGCATTAAAAACTGCTTTGACAAAAATGTCTTGTTTTTATCAAAGCCTAAGTCAGCTTTATTGTCAATTTAAGCACATGTACAGGACATATTGTAACGGGGGGAGTGACAGAGACAATAAGAGGTAAGATCCACAATGCAGGTTTATTCAGCGTCAGGCAAGCAAAGATCAAACAGGTGCAAACGGGTATTTTCAGGCAGTCCAGAATCGTAGTCTCATAAACAGGCAATAGGTCTAAAGCACAGGTGTCAAACTCAGTTCCAAAAGGGCCGCAGCTCTGCACAGTTTAGTTCCAACCCTAATTAAGCACACCTGATCAAACTAATTGAGTCCTTCAGGCTTGTTTGAAACCTACAGGTTAGTGTCTTGGAGCAGGGTTGGAACTAAACTGTGCAGGGCTTCGGCCCTCCAGGAATTGAGTTTGACACCCCTGGTCTAAAGGCAGGCGGCTAAACAGGAGAACAAAGGTAAACAAGGCTAGGGTCTAACACGAAGAAACAAGACAGGGAGAACCGCGTTGTAATGAAACTGAAACAGCTAACAAGACTTGACAAACTGGATGAGTAAATGAGTGGTTTATGTAGGGTGTGTAATCAGTCTCTGACAAGGCTCAGCTGGTGAGAGTGTAATCAGTCTTGATGAGTGAGCATGCGTGAGTGTAACAGTAGAGCATGTATGAATATGTAGTCCAAGGGAAGGCGGAAGTGTAGTCCTAAGTGTTTGTGTGAGATCCAGCGATCTCTAGAGAGCGATCGCTGGTTATGTGACACATATAGAGAATCGAAATTACGTTACTCTCAGACCCTAGGTGCCTAACATGTAAAATTAAAACAAAAAGTGGAGTTTTGAGAAAGAATTTACAATAAATACAATTATACATAAAATGTTATCTAAAATGTACATAAAATGTAGTCTTTATATATATATATATATATATATACGTAAAGAATAAGAATAACAATCGTTTCTGCATGTTGAGAAAAAATCTTCGATTGAGGCAAAATTGTGCATATTAAAGGTGCTGTATTGAAGTTTTAGATTTTTCTAAATTCAAAAAAAAATGTTTGCTGATATTTAAGAAACATGGTAAATGAACAATGTTTATCAAAAAAACAATGCTAAAGTCAGATATTCTTTTTTTTTTTTTTCGAAAATGTGAATTCTGTCAGAATCCGTCTTTGTTTTGATTTGTGTAACTCCACCCACTGCCAATTATATCCATAATGAGATGCAGATTCAAAGTTATTAAAATCCATGAATGTTCTTTTATTTTGCAAACAATTCAAATATCATAAATTTAAACATTAGCTGATCAGCTTTAAGTCTAAGGCTTGATCAGGCATGCTTGATATCTGTTGGTGTCGTCAATCTGGCAAACCCATATGTGTGCGTCATGTAAGAGAGGGAGGGGCTTGATGAAAAAAAACTTCATCCAATATTTTGAATTTGGACTGCAATACCTAATACTCAATCATACTGTACATACTGCATCTTTAAGGAATTTATTTGGTAAATGTGTTACCATCACAGTTTATGAACACATGTTTTCCCATTTTTTTTATTTATGCATCAGACAGTTTATAATCAACATTGTGGGATTCTGAGTGTGCTCTATGCTAGTGAGTGGGCTTGACCATCAGCAGAAGACATGTTTTTAAAGAATTTAAAACTAACTTTGATTTTAAAACTTAGCATTTATATACTGATTCACACCAGGCGTGGATCAAGCGTCAAATACGAGTGATTTACTTGTTCAGTCAATGCAAAGACGCAAATAAACATTCTGCGGCGAGATTCGTGTGAATGAGGCAACGCAAATGACACAATTCGCATGAATGAAGCAGCATGAGTTGGAACACTTAACGCAAGTCATGTCGAGTTAGAAAATCCGAACTTCAGCAGACATTCGTGCTGCGTTAACCAATCAAGAGGTGTCTCTTGTAGAGGCGTGATCCTCTTGCCGACACCAGACAACAGTTCATCAAACTGGGCTTGGTGCAGTCAGAAGCACAGCTGAAAGCCACCATCATCCAGGTGTAGTTTCTGGAGGAGTTCATGAACTCACAGAGCTGGGTGCACCTCTGAAAGGATCTAGTGGACTCAGACATGGCGCCGAACAAATCTATGCTGTTTTTCAGCATTCTTAAAGCACATAAAGCACAGCTACTCTTTTAATTAAATCCATGTTAGCCATTTAGCAACAAAGTTAGAGTCACTGGGAAGACAGAAGCCCTGCTTATGACGCGAATCCGTGTCTATTGTGAAGTGAGTTTGACTCGCAAGTGAAGCAAGTTTAATGTGCGAATGAAGTGAGTAAACTCAAAATGGTCACTGCGCCTATTTATGTGCGAATAGCATAATTTATTCTAGCAAGCTGCGTCTGTTGTGAAATCAGCATAATAATTATATTACAGTTCTTCCTTTATCTTCACTTTTAAGTTTTTGGATAAAAATGCCTGCTAAATGAATAAATGTAAATGTTCTTAAAACTCATTTGTGTTGCTAGATCTTGGTTTTAAAAACAGCAAACAAGTACAAATTATTTAAAATGCTCAATATAGATAATAATCTGCATCTGGCCACTTTAATATCTCTAATAAACTTTCTATATTTATAAGACTAATCAACAAGCCCATAGAAGCTTAAAATTTGTGGACATGGCAACACTGCAAGCGCATATGCTGATGCATCTGTTGTTTGTTTTAGTTCAAATAGCATAACATAATGAGGGTTTGGGGCTGGAATATCAAAAATATTGACGACTGACAGCTAGTTACCATATGTCAACAATGAAGTATTTTTTTTGTTAGCTTGCTTTCTATTGCAGATTGCTATATGAAAAAGTGAAAATGGCCTGAATGCAGGATAAGGTAAATGTTAAAGTATAGCCCCGCACAAGTTGGCCCTGAATGGGGAACACAGCTGGTTGCTTGTTTTCCGCTCCATCCATGATGTAACTTTGCCACAATGAGTGCAAGGATGCCAGAAAGGGACACGAGACATCACTGTCTGCAAAAAAGCGCTTCCACAAACATCCACAGGAATGACGCCGGTTGATGCGTAACTAGAAGTTAATCTGGCTTGAACTGCAGTCCAATCCAGGCACTAAAAGAAGGATTTGGGTTGCTTTAAAGCTGACAAAATAATCAACTGAAGTGCTTTTTTTTTTTTTTTTTTTTCAAATGTAGAAGATTGAATTTGTGTTTTGAAATTTGCAAGTATATTATCAGTGTAGACTGTTGCATTACTTTAAACAAAGTTTTTATGCAAGTCAAAATATTGGGAAACCAACATGAACAGTAGATAAAGAAATAAAATGATGTCCATTCGCTTTATTGTTTATTTTCATATTTATTTTTTTATTAAATAGTAATTATATTTAATAATTAACACGTTAATTATTATCATAATTATTTTTTTCATTGTATTTAATCAGTTTTAAATCTCTTTTAATTTTAGTTTTGCTTTTAACAATTAAAATGATGTCATGATGATGTTTTTTTGTGCCAATTAAAACAAACTTATTATTTTAAATAATAATATAAAGTATATAATGTATAAATATAACTAATATAAATCACCATATAAATGTTTGTTGATTACTTTAATAATTCATCAATTTAATTATTTATTTTATAATCTATATTGTAAAATTATTTTCTTCAATTTTTTTGTGTAGTTTTTGTGTAGTGTTTTTGCTGTAGTGTGTAGTTGTGTAGTGTTTTTGCTGATCAACTTAAACAACAATAATATAAGCAATCAAATTTATTTTACTTTAAAATTAATTATTTGTTAATTTTGTTTGCTTTTATATAGCAATTGAGGTAATAATCAGACTTGTATTCTGTGGACAACATGAATGATAATGAATAATTATTTAAATTATTCATTGTGTGTTTATTTCTCTAAATAGCTTTTAATATTATTATTCTTATTGTTTTATCTGTTATTTATATTTGTTTTGCAATTAAAAGTACAAATCAAAACCATTTTCTCATTTATTAGCTACTTAGTTCAATTGAGAAAGCTATATATTGAGCACTATAAACAAAAACTATTAACGTTTTTATGCAAATCAAAATATTGGATAACCAACCTGAACAATACAGTAAATATCAAATGAAATTAAATAAATAAATTATAACAAATTATATTTCATTTTTTATTAAATAATGATTATAAATAATAATTTATGGCGACCCGAGTTCAATGCCCGGCTTAAGGTCCTATGCCAATCCTTCACCTCTCTCTGCTTCCAATGTCTGTCCTCCACTTTCCTATCCCAATAAAAGGTGAAAAGTCCCTAAAAAATAATTAGAAAAAAGAAAATAAAAAAATTATAATTAACTCGTCCATTATTATGATCATTATATTATTCAATTTTATCATTTTATTCATTTGATTTTAAGTGTCTTTTAATTTTAGTTTTTGCTTTTAACAGTTAAAATGACGTCATGATGATGTTTTTTGTGTCACACAAACAGTAGTAGTTAATTCAAATAATAATATAAATCAATATATAACCATGTGTGTTAATTACATAAATAATTAAATAATTAATTTATTGTATAATCTATGTTGTAAAGTTATTTTCCTAAATTTTTAAATAATTTATAGTTATTCATTATGTGTTTACTTACTCCAAATAGCTTTTATTATTTTATTGTCATTCTTTTATCTGTTATTTTTAATTAATTTTCCAATTAAACAAACCAAGGGGGGTGACATGGTGGTGCAGTGGTTAGCACCATCGCCTCACAGCAAGAATGTTGCTGGTTTGAGTCCTGGCTGGGTCAGTTAGCATATCTGTGTTCGTGTGGGTTTCCTCCGGGTGCTCCGGTTTCCCCCACAGTCCAAACACATGCGGTATAAGTGAATTAAATAATAGGTCATAGTGTGTGTGTGTGAATGAGTGTGAATGGAAATTTCCCAGTACTGGGTTCCAGCTGGAAGGGCATCCGCTGTGTAAAACTTATGCTGGATAAGTTGGGGGTTCATTCTTCTGTGGTGACCCCTGATGAATAAAGGGACTAAGCCGCACGAAAATGAATGAATGAATGTACAAATCAAGACTATTTTCTCATTTATTAATCACTTAATTCAATTTAGAAAGTAATATTGTGAGTAAAAATTGTCAAATATATTCCTTATGTGTGTCCAGGAGAATCAGATTAATTTTTACATTTATTTATTGTGAATTACATATCATTTTTTACAATTATTTTATTATTATTTTATAATCTTTTTTATGTACCATTAAATGAAACATTTTATTTTATTCAACGATAAATAATAGCAGCAATCAAAATAGCATAAATGTACCACAAATGTCCAATAATAGATTTAGTTTTTGTGTCAAGGATAATCACAATGACAGAATCAAATGGCATTGACAGTGATGGTAACTGCTGTGAATTGCCGCTGGTGGAGCGTCATAGAGCTTCTGTCCTTCTTTAAGAAGTGTTTTCTGTACAGGAGTCTCTCTTCAGCCTTTTTCCCTGTGAAATGGCTGATGTCAGGCTGGTGAAACACAAACCTTTGTACTTTTCCCGTATGTTCATTCAAGCCCCAGGCCCTAATATAATCATACCACTATCAGAGACGCAGCAAAAAATAGAGGAGTATAATGAAACATTGTTCTGCTTTAGAATATTGTTTGTGCTAAATATCATATAAACAAATCAGAAAACATAAAGAATATTTGTATTCTTTCTTAGTGACAGCAATATGTTGCTACCATAGTATAGACTATAATTTTGAGTTTACTTAACAATCTGATTGATGTAAAATCTGCCATACAAAGATCTTCTCTTTTTTGTATAAAAAGTATTAACTATTTCTATATTATTATTTTTACAGTTACTACTAGGGTAACTAGAGTTAATTTCTATATAATTACTTGAGTATTATATGGTATATTATAGCATATAGTTTATGTTCATGCAAGTTAAAAAGTTTATAAAAAGTATATACAAATATACATTCAGGTCAATAAATATCAGGACATCGACACCCTTCTAACATTTTTGGCTCTATACACTATCTATTGGTCCCATAACAAGTGGGAGGCACGTATGCAAACTGTTGTAATTCCTACAGCGTTTACCTGATTTGGATGTAAATACCATTGAATTAAAGCTGAGACTGCAGCTAAAGCACATATTGTTTGTTTCAATTAAAATATATTGTGTTGTCTTAATTTAAATCTTTTTAGTAAGTAGCAGAAAAGCCATAACTTAAAAATGGTTTCAGGTTGATTCTCCAACAAGGGCTCAATGGATAGAAATAGTAAATACACTGTATGGAGAGACTGACTTTTAACCTAAAACTTGATTCCAAAAAGTGCAACAAGTATTGGCAAAAATGGACTGAGCATGCTGTTTCCATCCAAAAATGCTAATTAACTTCATGTATTATCGCATAAAAGATGTGCGAATAAAGCAGCGTTTCCATCCAACAAGTCAAAGAGAACAAAATCGCCACTTCCTGATCAACTGGCGCCAAATATCAACAGTTAACACGGAATTTGTTGCATTAAGTGAAGCTGCGTGAATCTTTTCTTCATTTAATAAATGACTTGCACCTCAAAAGACAATCCTGACATGCAATTAACATGCGGTGGCGATTGAAGGCGTGAGACGCAGAGCACAGACTCTTGATTCTGGAGGTCATTTATAATATAATAACAATAATACTGAGGTAGTTAAGGTGTTTTAGAATGACCAAAACAACTTTTCAGATAGTGTACAATGTGCTCAGCCTGCTGGTTTGTCCATTCGCACACATTTTTATCATCACATGATCTCTTATAAAAAGATCACATGACCTTTTTTAATGCTCATACTGGAATTAGTTCGGTAAAAGTGTTTCCATCGTAATTTATGCGCATCTTTTCTTATTGAATAAAAAGTTTATCCTACTCAGTTATGAAGTATACGTTATGCAGTATACGTTTTGTATGCGCATTTTCAAAATATATGCGCATCTTGGCGTTTCCATCAACCGTTTTTTAATTTGCATATCCAAAGGGGTGGATGGAAACTTAGCTATTGTAAACAATATCTGATATTGTGATTCAAATGTATTATAACTTGATTTTGTAACCCATATGACAACCGCTTTGTTCTTTGTTTTAATTTTTTTCTCTTCCCCTTTTGTAATTTTTTTCCCCTAAATAAAATAAGTATATATAGACCTGAGCTTATATTTGGTTAAGAATGATGATTATTGAAAAATGTAAACTAATAAAGTGACTATGTTTTTTTCTCTGATTAAATGTTGCAGTTTCGCTACAAGAGCAGAGTGTACCAGCAGCCAAATGTCAACGAAAAGCAAATCGAAAAGCTCCACACACAGGTGAGACTTATCATTATTATTTTAAATGTAAACATTGTTTTTGGTTTATTAACTGAGCTGTAAATATCAAGAGACTAATTTTGAATCTTGCTAACTGGCTAATGCCAAAGTCCCCTTAAGGCAAGTCATTTCACACGGTGGCCATCTTTGAAACACCTCTCGGGCAGTATGCTCGCACATTCAGTTTGAATGGGGAATAATCAAATTCTCCAAAATTGCTTGCCAAGCTTACGGTTAAATTTTATATTATGTAACCACAATTACATTAAGCAACAACTGTCTCTTTACTTTCATTTTTAAACGTTTGAGTCACACAAAATCTGCAGAAATTCACACCTGGTCCCAGTTCCTCTCAAGGAGAAATGTCCGTCTATAGCAATTGCTGATTAGTTCTTGTACTAGTAGGCGGGGCTTCATTCGCCAATCGCCATATTGACTGTTACACTTTCCCCATTCAAAACTATACAAGTGACATGTCTTGTGTATTCTATAGTCTTTGCTAATGCTACCACAAGAACGTTTACAAGGCATTTGCAAATGACTATGCTAAACTTTAAAGCCAAAATATACAATTGAATAGCTTTTATTATATACTTACAACTCATGTTTTGTAGAAATAGCATTTAATCAGATGAATGTGTCTGTTTTTAAATGACTATTAATAGAGAATGGCTTAGAAATGTGAGGCTAATTATGCTAACTGTGCTAACCACTCAAACCTTCATATGTTGGAGTATTTTTGATTGGTTAAAAACAGTTTTAGATCATTTTAATATGGTAACTCTGGCATGCAGACCATTTGTATTAAAAGTAAAATGCTACCAAGGGAACGTGCACAAGATATTTATTAGCAAATATGCTAAGCTAGGACATCAAATGTTTCTGAGTAGAGAAATGTTAATTTTACCAGGCTTATGGAATATTTATTCTTCATATTTTGCACAAATTATATAATTTATCAGATTATATAACTACATTGGGATGACTATTGGTGCAGAATGTGAAAAAGTGGGACTAACCATGCTAACTATGCTAATAACTCAAACTTAACATTTTCAGGCTTCATTTTTTAGATTTTAATATCTTTTAAGATGATTTTCATAGTCTATCACTGACACATACAGGTGAGGCTTATTATTTTAAAATAAAACATTTAGCCATGACATATGTAAATTAGGCTACTCTGCATATTTGTCAAAAATATGTCTACTTCTGACATGCCGGTGGTGATTATCTTGTTTTCTGTTATGATAATTGACTCTTTTACATACATATCAAACCAAAGCTTTTTGCTTAATTGCGAGCCAGGAAGGATGTCTTAAGACACGACTGTTAAAACAAGAAAGAAATATCTTGAGTTTTATATTCAGTCACTGCTAGGACTGAATGTCTAGCATGCAACATTTATTTTACAGTCGGCTACTGAATAATGCAGCAGACCAACGCAATTTGCATATATTTGGACTTAGCAGGACTTTCGGCTCAAGACGGTCATTGATGTTGACATTTTAGCGTTTCAGCCAGTGTTTGGTTGTGAGCGTTTTTTTTGCAACCACCGGTGGAGGTTTTTCCACAACCATCGCCCAAAAGCGGCCCCGAAGCTTCGAACCCAAGTTTTAATTGCCGTTTTCTTCCAGCACTATGTGTCCTGGGCTACGCTCAGTGTCTTCCTCTTTATTGCTCAACCTATTTATCTCCCGTCTCAACACTGCTTCCCTCAGCATTTAAAACTCTCCTTCTCATTGCTCTGAGCTTTCGAGCTCCCTTAATAAGTTATTATATTACAGCTCCGTAAGCCACAAGGGTTTGCAAAGGATGACGTAGGAACTGCTTTGTGTACGTTCCTTGTTTCAGAGGAACAGATATTCCCCCTGCTTCATAACGATTGTCGGTGAATTATGAATGCAACAGAGGCAGATGCTTAGAGGGGTTTGCTTTTAAAAAATCTGACTGCATTATAATGAGTGGAAAGGGGAAGCCATTACCTTAAAGAGCTATTTCTACCTAAACTCACCCTTAGAAATAGTTCTATTGGCGTAGACCAAGGAAAAATGAAGAAAACTGATTCTCTTTTAACTTAGATGGAGTTGCTTGGTTGCTGCATAAATTAATTTAGTGTTTTTGCTTATGAATGCGTTCAAGAAACGATGGAAATGTAGTATTTTTGAATTAAACATCAACACAGTGTTTAAGTTAGCAGAGCGTCATTGTGAAAGCAGTTTAAACACTGTAAATAGTGCTAAATATGTTTTAAGGAATTAAGTTAAAGGATTTTTTTTAGTGAAAATTAATAAATTTGATTAGCATTTACACAACTTTGTCGTTCCAAACCTGGCGTGGTTATTTGACAAATTTAGTTAAAGTGAATGGTGACCTTAGACTGTTAAATACTAAAAAGCGAAGAAAAAAAAAACCCTCTTATACATCTATATGAAATTACTTAATGCAAATGTTCATCAGAAGCTTCTTCAGTGTGAGGGACCGAGCCAGCACGTACAGTAAGGGGCATACCAAAAAAGAAGATTTTCAAAAATAATTATTTTTAATAAAGTCAAAAAGGTTCACAAAAAGTTCAAAAATAAATAAATTAAATCGATTGAAAGAACAATAAACTAAACAAGGAAAACAAACTGAGTTCAAACCAAACAAATCATGTCTAAACCAAAAACAGAACTCCATGAAATGACAAGACAGACCACATTTATAGCACAGGGACTAGTCCACATTAAACAAGAAGGGGGAGACAAAAACATACAATTTACAAATACAATAAACTAAGCCAAACATCTAAATACAAATCTAAATATAAGTTAAATAAATTATAAATAAGGCAAAACTAAATATAAATCTGAATAAACAAACATTGCAAATCATTATTGAACCTAAACTAAACATGAGCTCTCCCTCCAAGCCATTAAGCCAATGGTATCGGCAGGCGGAACCAAAAGACGGCCTCTTGCGGCACGTCGGACCTTTACTTGGGCGGACCACACCCGGAAACTCTGTTCCTCGTCGGCACTGCAGCACGGTAACTTAAACTCAAAAGAAAACTAAATTAACAAAACATACAGTACAGATAACTGATTTTGTGTGCACCCAAAATAGTAATAAATGTACTGTGAATAATAAAGAAAGGTAATGAGAAACTGAAAGTGAATGCGTCTTATTGAAATCAGATATGAAGGAAACGAAATGTATAAACACAATAACTGAAATTGTGACCAATAAATAATCTTAAATGATTGTGTGTGTGTGTGTGTGTGTGTGTGTGTGTGTGTGTGTGTGTGTGTGTGTGTGTGTGTGTGTGTGTGTGTGTGTGTGTGTGTGTGTGTGTGTGTGTGTGTGTGTGTGTGTGTGTGTGTGTGTGTGTGTGTGTGTGTGTGTGTGTGTGTGTGTGTGTGTGTGTGTGTGTGTGTGTGTGTGTGTGTGTGTGTATGTATGGTTGCTTGCATGCCTCACTCTCAATGTGTGGCCACCACACTGGCCATCACATTCAGCAACACACTTTCTCTACATTTGGCTGAAATGTCTAAAATATTTATATGGCCTGCCCATGGTCCTGATGTAAACCTGATTGAAAATCACTGGAAAATCCTTGGCCATAAAGTTATGAGCTAGAAACTCACCACAGGTAGTAACTTGTAAAAAACTTAACTGAAGAAAAGCAGATCAACATGGGTCAGTTGGCATTTCTGTGTGTAGTTTGCATGTTCTCCCTGTGTTCGCATGGCTTCACAGTCCAAAAACATACAGTATAAGTGAACTGGATGAACTAAATTGGCCCTAGTTTATGAGTGTGTGTGTGAATGCGAGAGTGTAACAGCCTTCTGAGCCTACTAGTAGACGCGGAAGGTCCCTACTGGCCCACATCTATTAGCTGATAATCACTGATAATGCCCATTCAATCGAGTGAAAACATTCGAAGCGGGTGGCATGATATGACGTTGTTTGATTAGGTACAACTCACTTTTGAGGTATTTTCCACTGCGTTCTGTACCTAGTACTTGGTCTTTTTTTTTGGACCCCCCCGAGTTAGGTTCAAAGTGAGGCATATCGTTACTAATACTTGAAGTATACACACTGCTGATCATCGGTTGCTTCAAGAGAATCATCACTACCAGCATCGTTGGATTTGCAACACTGAGACACCAAACCCATTCTATTTAAATAGTCAGCAGCAGCCACTGTGGTATTATTGGTTGGCAGCAATTTGTTTATACCACTGCAAGAAAACGACACCTGGGAAAACTGCATCAGTTAAAGAGGCACAGACATTCCTCTCATGGGTACCTGAGCAGAGGAGCAGATGGGATGGCCCGAAATGAATGCGATGATGTCACAGCAGCACAACATATAAACGTACAATGCTACTACCCACTTTATGCGTTAGTAAACTGTAGTGGAAATACAAACCATGCTGAACTGTACAGTTCAGTGAAAAAGCAGTTCTGTACCATTTGTACAAGCCCTATTTTACTACAAATGCTTTGGTCGTTTGTGTTCACCATGGCTTAACTACAAAAAAGCCTGTTTTTTGTGTGTATCATCTGTATTAAAGGTATGGTTCGTTTTCATAAGGCTAGTAATTAGAATGCACCTGATCTCACCAGGAGGACCTGAACACACATCAGTCTGAGGTCTAGTTTTTTTTTAAAGAAATAACCTGAGCTCTAAATGTCAAATGACTCACTCTGAAACTCCAGGAAAATGACATCATGACCTTGCTAACTGATTACTGGCACCACCACGACACAAGCCATTTATTAGCAGCTACCCTGAGTCATGACATCAAACGCAGCTGATGTGTTTATGAAATATCGTTTACCGTTCATAATTTGCAGAAATTGAATTTTATCAGAGTATACCTGAATACTTTTGAACGACTATCAAAGCTGCATGCTGAAAATGTTATTTCATCTCCCTGCATATGCTTATCTTGTATGCTAACCTTTCTGTGTAACCCAGCATTTTTAGGTTGAATACATCACCATTTTTTTAATATATTAAACCAGTTTTAGGTGATTTCTGTAGGCTAACGTTGACAAATCACTTTTTGCAGAAGGTTGTCATTGCGCTAAGTGACATCTCTACTTTGTAGTTATATAGCCTAATGGGTTTCAAGTTGTTAGCTGGCATCGAAGTGTGAATTATTGAAAGCTAGTGTTGCCAGGATGGGATCCAGAAGTTAAATAATGCAAATGCTAATATTTTGTGAATGGTAATAATGTATGGCACTTTCCCTTTTGTTTTGTTGGAGGGACTTGTGTGTAGTGGGTTGACTTGAGGTAGTAGCACTTCAAGTTATAACAAGCAGTTTTAACATTTCATCTGTACTGTAAAAAAATAGTTTATTATCATTTTCTTTATTTTTTGAGTGTTTTCCATTTATTTACTGTTGTGAATTGCATTATGGAATGTTGATCTCTGCTATTTCCACTTTTGATGTTGAAAATTCAACTCTACAGTTTAACAAAGTGACATTCACTAGCATTTTAGTAGTTTGAAATAATATAAGGTCTACGTATCGTATTATACAGCACCAGCCTAGAAAATATATCACTTTAAACCCCTAAAAACTGTTAACTTTTTAGTGACTTTTGAAAGTTAAAGGTAGTTGGAAGATAGATCAAGGTCACTTAATGTAATTCAAAAGCATTTATAAATGGGGAAAAATAAATAAATAGAAACATGAATCACATAATATGGAAAACTGCTAATTTTCTAATATTTTTTACAGTGTATATAAGTTACTAGTGCGGCTGGGCGATTAAATCGGTATCGATATTCATTGACCGAATACCATTGTCAATATCGATAAAAAAGAAATTTGGTATGTAGTTTCGGTATGAAGCGCTATAGTTTTGTAATGTGGCTACTGAGTGTGCGCCTTGGAAGCAATGCCAATAAGGTTAGGGTGTATGTTTGTCATTTCCAATGAAGATGCGCGACTTGTACAACGTGCATATGTGGGCATTTTCCAGCCACAACTAGTTGAAAACATTTTGGAATTTTTCCATATGCCACAAGCACACCATGATTCATGTAAGTAGAACTAACAGAATCTGCTTCACTCTTTGTATGGAATATACACATTTCAGTAATGATGGCAAACTAATTACCTCAGACAAACACAGTGCATCCAAACACTGCAGTGCTTTTTACTTTTCACCATAAACTTGCATCGGAGCTGCAGCAATTATTTGTCTGTTACTCATCCTCTGAGAGAATGCTTGATGACGAGTTACGAGAGATGCTAGAAGAGGGTGAGCGCAAAGTCCATTGTAAATGGTCAAGGAATTCACTTACACGCACTTCTGGTCACAATAACAACACATGCTAAAATGAGTGCCGTAAAACAGCAGTAAGGAGATTGTAAATAAAAAAGGATGAATGGATGTCGCCAGAGTAGCTTTTTGGTTTCTTTTCTTGTGTACCCCATCTGAAATAGTTTTTAGCATAGTAAGTAAAACAGTCATTCAACTTCACAATTTATAATGTTCACTTATAAATTTTACAGTATTTTTGCAATATAAAATAGTAAGACCAAGTTTATAAACCAAAATTGCCATTATTAATACAGCAATTTTTTTTAACGGTGTATTCTTTAACTCTGTGTAAAATTAAAATTTACAATGTTTATTTTACTAGAGCACATTGCTATCCTTTAGGTAAACAATTATTCCGTGAAAGTTAATCCACTGAGAAAATAGGTTTGTTTTGATAATCTGAAATAAAATATTGTCATTTGCTTCAACATTTGAAATGGTGGTTTTTCTCTGATGACATCAGTTTGACAACTTAAGCCCCAATATTGTTAACCACGCCCTTTTTACAGTTTGCTATGAAGGAATGATGCAAAAAAAAGAATTCCCTGTAAAACTGTAAAATTTACAAACTCACTGTAAATTAATAATTACAATTATGCTGTAAAACAACAGCACGTGTAAAATGTACAGTTTTACTGGCAACCAAATTTTCTACAGTGTATTTTTTAATTCTGCGTAAAGTTTGCTATGAGAGAAAGATGTGCAAAAAGAAATCCCCTCCCCCTACTCAATATTCCATATGACTGAATCAACATCCTGAAATAAAAGTCTCAGCAACTTCCATTTCACAAGGATAATATTAGTGTACTGTAAAATATTGCAGTAAAATGTAGAGTATTACTGGCAATTTTGGTTGCCAGTAAAACTGTAAAATTTACTTAGTTATTTGTTCAGTCATTTTAGTTTATTTTTTAATTAACAAATTACTTGCAATTTTTACAGTTACAACTGCACTGTAAATTGGCAATTACAATTATGCTGTAAAACTACAGCACAGTTATAATTGTTCATTTACAGTGGGCTTGTAAATTTTGTAAGCTAGAAGTACTGTAAAAATTGGCAGCAATACTGTAATACTTACAAGCGGACTATAAATTTAGCCAGTAATAATGTAAAAATTGCCAATAATATTGTAATATTAACAAGCGCACTGTAAATTTTACCAGTAGTACTGTAAAAATTGCCAGTAATACTGTAATATTTACAAATGCACTGTAAATTTTGCGAGTAATGCTGTCAAAATTGCCAGTAATACTGTAATATTTACAAACGCACTGTACATTTTGCCAGTAGTACTGTAAAAATTGCCAGTAATAGTGTAATATTTACAAGTGCACTTACAAATTGCCAGTTATACGGTAAAAATTGCCAGTAGTGCTGTAAATTTAATAAACACACTGTAAAAAATTGCTAGTTATACTTTAAAAATTGCCAGTAATACTGTAAAATTTACAAACGCACTGAAAAATTGCCAGTTATACGGTAAAATTGCCAGTAGTGCTGTAAATTTTACAAACACACTGTAAAAAATTGCTAGTTATACTTTAAAAATTGCCAGTAATACTGTAAAATTTACAAACGCACTGAAAAATTGCCAGTTATACGGTAAAATTGCCAGTAGTGCTGTAAATTTTACAAACACACTGTAAAAAATTGCTAGTTATACTGTAAAAATGGCCAGTAATACTGTAAAATTTACAAACACATTGTGAATGAACAATTACAGTTCTGCTCTAAAACTACAGCACAATTATAATTGTTAATTTACAATGCAGTTGTAAATTTTACAGTATTATTGGCAACCAAAGTTTTATAAATACATTATACACCATTTTTACAGTGTAGCTTTTAATAGAAAATATACTAGTATCTATAAAAAAGAGCTAGTAGCATGAAAATAAATATGTTTTATATTTGAAATGTTAAAATGGCTTGCCATATTGGTCTCTGCATGTCTGCGTAGCCAGATCAGCTGTGCTTCTCTCTGTCTCTCTCTCTCTCTGATGTCTCTGTACTGGGAGCTGCTCTCCTATCTATTTTTATCCAGCCTTGTATCGCTGCATGTGTGTGTGTGTGTGTGTGTGTGTGTGTGTGTGTGTGTGTGTGTGTGTGTGTGTGTGTGTGTGTGTGTGTGTCCCAGAGATGTCGACATGAGAGAGGAGAAAGCCAAGACCGTTCACACTCTCGTCAACTGTTCATCTCGATCATTCTTTAAGTTCCTCCTCAATCATTAGCTGTCAGTGTTTCTGGTTTTACCTCATTCTCTTTCTCTGACCTCATTTTAAGGTCAACCTGAGGAAGTTTATGGAGTACATTCAGCATCATCAGGTGGAGAAAGTGGCCAAGATGTTGGAGAGAGGGCTGGATCCCAACTATCATGACCCTGATACTGGTGGTAGGGGAAAATGTTTTAGATAACTGCTAAAAATGTGCAAAATAGGCTGTTTTACATATACACACAAACACACACACACACGCACACACACACACACACACACAATTGAAGACAGAATTATTAGCTCCCCTGAATTATTATTAGCCCCATTTCTTATTTTTCCCCCCAATTTCTGGATAAGAGAGAGAAGATTTCTAAACATAATATTTTTAATAACTCATTTCTAATAACTGATTTATTTTATCTTTGCCATGATGACAGTAAATAATATTTGACAAGATATTTTTCAAGACACTTCTATACAGCTTAAAGTGACATTTAAAGGCTTAACCAGGGTAATTAGGTTAACTAGGCAAGTTAGGGTAATTAGGCAACTTAATGTAAAACGATGGTTTGTTCTTTAGACAATCAAAAAAAAAAAAAAGATAACGCTTAAAGGGGCTAACAATTTTGACCTTAAAATGGTTCATAAAAAATTAAAAACTGTTTTTGTCCGAGGGGGGCTTATAATATAATATAATTCTGACTTCAACTGTAATTTTATTTTTTTGGTCAATAGTTTTACTCACAATACAATCACAATACAATCCCACGATGTAGTTCATTAAATGTAAACCATAAAGCTAAAAGTAATATGCTAATTAATAAAATAGAATAAAATTTAAATAAATAAAAAATAAAAAATAAATAAACAAATAATAATAAATTATTAATTAATTTATATATACATATATATATATATATATATATATATATATATATATAAATAAAATTATATAATATATTATTAATATTTTTATTCTGACTTCAGTTTTTTATTTTATTTGTCAAATAAATGATATTGTCTTATAATTTGATTATAAATCTATTTTTATATATAGCTACTTTTGGGAGTTAGATATCGGTACGATTTATTTTATTTTATTTTATTTTTTAATAATTATTATTTAATTATAATTAATTAATTTATCTTTTATTTTAAATCAATTTTTATATATAGTTTCTTTAAAGTTGGATGTCAGTAAGGTTTATTTTATTTATTTTTTATTTTTTAATTAATTTTTATTTTATATTATTTCGTTAAATCTATTTTTATATATAGTTTCTTTAATAATTTTGATGTCAGTAAGATTCATTTTGTTTTATACTTTATAAAATAAATGTGATTTCATTTAATATTTTATTTATTTTATTTTTTCATTTATTACTATTTTTCGATTTTGTAAGCAATTCGATATTTCTCTCAACATAACTTTGCATTCATATAAATAAATATGTAGATATATATTCAAATAGTGAAGTGCCCATTATAATCCAGTATTTATAGTCCCTTTAAGAAGTTTGATGTCAGTAAGATTTTTTTTGTTTTATTCTATTTTATTTTATTTTTTTATATTTCTATATTTTTGTCGTTTTTTTATATTATTTTGTTAAATCAATTTTTATATATAGTTTCTTTAAGAAATTTAATGTCAGTAAGATTAATTTTATTTTAATTTATACTTTACTTATTTTATTTTATTATTTTTTTATAAGCAATTTCATAATTTGCTCAACAAAACATTGCAATCACATAAATAAGTAAGATATTTATATGTATTCAAATAATAAAGTGCCCATTATAATCCAGTATTATACATCATTAATCACCATTGATGAAGCATATGAATCCTTTAATTAACATCATGCTTTTATTAAAAGAGATTTCCCCAGCGTGTAGTAATGAGTTTGTGTCTGTTGTCCACAGAGACCCCGCTGACCCTTGCTGCTCACTTGGACAATATGCTGGAGATTATAGTGACTCTAAAGAACGGCGGGGCTCATTTGGACTTTCGCTCCCGGGATGGCATGACTGCCCTGCACAAAGCAGCCAGAGCCAAAAACCAGATCGCTCTCAAGGTAATAAATAACCTCATCCCGAACGCCAGCTTCACTTTATGGCTGTGTTAGAGCAATCTTCTTCAGTGATTGTCATTTTGTTTTTTTATTTTTGGTGCCATAGATGTGAAACAGAGCAGTACAGCGATGTCTTTTAGTGTCAGAGAGAACATTTATTACTTTGACAGAGCGTACTTTCATTCAAAGCACACTCTGTCTTGTTTTTCTCTCTCTCTTTCTATTAAGGCGAGACACTGCAGACAAAAACACTGATGTTCAAATCTTCAAGTGTTTTGGAACTTTTCAAGTGTTTTTTTTTTCTAATTTGAACAAAACATCCAAAATACGCATTTCTTTTTGTCACACTTAATTAATTAGAGTTTGTAAATCTCAATTACAATACATTTTTTGCAGAGTATTTTCCTAAAACATTTTATTTTCTGCACTGAGCCACAAATGTCAACTATATTCAACATTTCATTCTACAAAAAACATGAAAATGTGTATTTTACAAGCTTTTTACAGTATTTTCTAAATAATGGAGTGATCAAAACAAATTCTCAAAATTAATGAAATAAGAATTTGATTTATTTATGATTTTGGTATGCAAATTAGAGCATATTTAGCCATAATTGGCTACTATATACATTTTATTCACCAAAGAAAATCTGAAAATGTGTATTTTACAATTTTTTTTCCTTTTTTTTTTTTTTTACAGTATTTTCTGAATAATGGAGTGATCAAAAGAAATTCTCAAAACTAATGAAGCAAGAATTTAGATTTATTTATGATTTTAGTATGCAAATTAGTGCATATTTAGCCATAAATGTCTATTATATACATTTTATTCTACAAAACAAATTAAAATGTGTATTTTACAAGCTTTTTACAGTATTTTCTGAATAATGGAGTGATTAAAATAATTTCTCAAAACTAATGAAACGAGAATTTAGATTTATTTAAATTTTAGTATGCAAATTAGTGCATATTTAACCATAAATGTCTACTATATACAACATTTTATTCTACAAAAAACTATGAAAATGTGTACTTTACATTAATGAAACACGAATTTAGATTTATTTAGATTTTAGTAGGGTATGTTTAATTAAATAATGCCTTATTTGCAAAAAAACATGTAACAAATCTACAAAATATACAATTTTGCAGATAATAAATTAGCTGGAGAAGTATGGTGATAGCAGTTACTGTAGTTATTTTTTACCCTCTTCACTTACACTGTCTAGCTAAAAAAAAATCTGTAATTAAGTTATTTTTTTCATCATTTCATTGCTTTCATCCCTTGACAACAATAGGAAGTAATACTGCTGATCTACTTCTGTTTTCGTGCCATGAATATTGTAAAACACAATTTTCCTCTGTGCCGTTGTGCTTGCAGTTTATTGCTTGTCGAGTGTTTATTTTAAATAAAAAATAAACCTTCATGAAGAGTTGGTGTCATTTTGAAGACTTAAAGCCATAGATTTCATGTTTTTATTACTGGAGAGTCTGCGTTTCATCATTTTTGAAGGGGAAAAAAATCTGCATTTTGTTAGGAAGCAAAAATGGTTATGAAGCTACTTGGTTGGGTAAAATTCTATAATAAAATAATATTTTAGACAGAATTACTCAGTCATCCAGAGCAAAAATAACCAACGTATTTGCTATAACATATTTAGAATTTGTTCTATTATATGTTGTTATATTATTTTTGTAGAGTACCTACTGTATATATGAAGAGTAGAAAAGTTTAATTCTATATAATTACAAAAAAATCATAAACTATTGATTAAAAGTTTGGGTTCAGTCCAAAAAAAAGAAAATTATATATATATATATATATATATATATATATATATATATATACATATACATACAGTGTCTTCGACCGCGTTTCAAATGATAATTGCGATGTTATTTGGTATTTCTTCCTCTTTAAAAAAATGCTTCACTCTAAGACTGATAACTGTCAAGATAACTGTAATTATAAGCTCTGCAGTTTTGTCGCCTGTCACTTTAAATGCTTGCGCTCATTATTGGTGAATTCTGATTGGCTGTCAATCTTTTTATTTTGTTCGTCAGCTTGTAAACATCATTGTGAAAGTGATTACCATTATGGCTGTACTTCGCCATATAGGTTAAAGTGTGAACTCTGGTAAACTGAGAATGATTTTTAAAATGATATAATTTTTTTTCCTTTCTGCAGACAATGTTAGATTTGGGAGCATCTCCAGACTATAAAGACCGGCAGGGTTTGACCCCGCTGTACCACACGGTGACAGTAGGTGGCGACCCCAGCTGCTGTGAGGTCCTGCTGCGTGCCCATGCCAGCGTCGGGTGCCATGATGAAAACGGCTGGCACGAGATCCACCAGGTGACGTTGCTTTTTACATTATTAGTAGTTAGCCGTCATTTTAGAATCTCATTCTTTTTCAATTTTTTTTGTTGCACAAGCTACTATATATAATGGCTCTACTGTACATTCAGAAATGTGTTTCAAGTGACACCGGTGGCCATTACATGGACTGCAGCCAGCAATTTGTAAACAAAAAAGTGGGAAATCATGTATTAATTTAGTGCCAATTAATTAGCTTTACATAACTATAAACTGTTTTTTGAGAATTACATGACTGAAATGATGTCTTTCACACTCAATGCGGATGACTGAGTCACTCTCTCTAGTTTACTCACAGGATGTTTTTCCCCTGACGTTTTTTTTTTTTTACTTGGAAATTAACATGGAAATTGTATAACCTATACCGCAACACCCGGCCATAATTTGTGTCTATTTGCACGTTTGCATTGGCTTTGTATGTAGTTTACTCACATAAACAGTTAATTTGCCTTTGGTTTAGTGTTTGTTCATAGACCAGATATACAGTTGAAGCCAGAATTATTACCCCTGCTGAATTATTCGTCCCCCTGTTTATTTTTTCCCCTCTTTATTAATTTCTGTTTAACGGAGAGAGGATTTTTTCAGCGCATTTCTAAACATAATAATTTTAATAGCTCATTTCTAATAACTGATTTATTTTATCTTTGCCATGATGACAGTAAATAATATTTGACTCAAAATTTTTAAGACACTTCTATACAGCTTAAAGTAAAATTTAACCAAAAACAACCATAAAGTGAATGTTCTGTGAATCAGAAATTGTTATTTTCCCACTGCCATCATATTATACAGAAGTATACAATGCACTTAAATTTGTTATTTCACGTTTTCATTGTTTCACGAGTGATCTTAGTTTTTACAGTACTTTATTGTACTTTTTATTAAACAGAAAATAACCTCACTGGCTCCTCTTTACGATAATGTTGTAAATCAGGGTAAAGGATATATTTTAGTTTAGAGGAACGTTTTGAAACTGTTAAATTAATGTTAGTATGATGTCACACAAACCAAAAACTCAAATTTAATCAAAAACAAACATAAAACTAATGTTCTGGGAATTTACACCTGTTGGCTGGATCATGCTGGCTCTCTAAGGTAATGTTGTATAGCAGGGTAATGTTTTGAGAATGTTCTGAGACTGTTAAATTAACGTTAGTATGATGGTACACAAATCAAAAACTAAAATTTATTAAAATATAAACTTTCTGGTAATCTACAATTGTTAGCTGGACCACACTGGCTCACTGGGGTAATGTTGTACAGCAGGATATGCTTTAGATTAGGGGAACGTTCTGAGAATATTAAATTAACGTTAGTAGAACGTTACACAGACCTAAAACTAAAATTTAACCAAAAACAAACATAAAATGAACATTGTGTGAATCAAAAACTGTTTGCTGGACCACTGCTATCATATTATATTAAAAATATCCATTCACTTTAAGTATTTATTCAGTTTTTTTTAAATACTTCTGTATACAATACAATATTAAAGGAGTGAGTAAACACAGAGTACTCACACCAGAGTGAGTTGATGAAGCTTGAATTTTCATTTTCAGGTGAGCTATCCTTTTAAAAGCTATCTTTAGGCTAAAAATGGTAGTTGTAAAATCTGCATCGCTGAAGGAAGTCATAACAGCCAGAGGTTCCTGCGACAGCAGCTTTGTTCAATTAACGGACAGGTGATGAGATCAGACTGGTTTAAAAACGACACGCATCAAGAAGTCCGTCTGTTGTGACGGCGCACTGACATCTAGTGTTATGACAGGTGGACTGCAGATGCCAGTCAAATCACTTCTCCAGCTTCTTTTTGATCGCAGTCGTCTGAGAAAATGCAAAAGCGGAGTGTGTGGTTTACTTTTAAAGACTCTAGAATAACCCGAAATGACAGCGCACTGAAGGCTTAATGATGTTTTTATGTTTCAAAGGACTTCCGCTGCATGAAATTTTTAAGGCCTTTCTTTCAGTTTTCAGCCCCCGTTTTACTCACACTAATGGTGTTTCTCATATATTTCTTCAGGCATGTCGATACGGACACGTCCAGCATCTGGAGCATCTGTTGTTTTACGGAGCGGACATGCATGTGGAGAACGCGTCTGGAAACACAGCTCTTCATATCTGCGCTCTTTATAAACAGGTATGTACTCATACTGTACTTTTAATGATCTGAAGTCTGGATCTGAAGTTGTTCTTTTCATTTGAAGCACATTTTGTGTTGTTTTTATTGCTTTGCAGGTAAAAACACTTTTTTTCATTGGGATTTTAAGCCTTTTTTTAGTGAAATGTGGAGGAAACATCTAAGAAAGACTTTTTAAGTGTTCCTTTTGTTGTTCTTTATCTATTTGTGTCTGTAGATTTTCATTACAAAATCCATTTTTAGAGCTGTTTTCTCAAAATGAGTTTTTTTTCTCCTGCACTGAGACATAAGTCTTAATTTCACTTACATACACCAAACCTTGCGGTTTTATTTGTACAGTATTCGTATTCTGAAGGTTTTTACAGGGATAAGTTTGCACATTCTACACTATGTATACATAATCTACACTGTAAAAAAAAAAAAATAAATAAAAATAAAATATATCTATATATATATATCTATATATATATCTATATATATATATATATATATATATATATATATATATATATATATATATATATATATATATATATATATATACAGGGTGGGCCATTTATATGGATACACCTTAATAAACTTATTGGGAATTTCATAAGAAAAACAATGGTTTGCTTGGTTTTAATTTTACCTTTATTCTTTCATGAGTTATTTACAAGCACCCTCACATATACTAATGTGCCACAAACTGGACGTTAATATCACCAACCATTCCCTTTTTATTAAGGTGTACCCATATAAATGGCCCAGTAAATCCGTAAATTAACAGTTTTCTGTATTTTATTTTTATTTATGCTTCTAAATGGCATCATGGGTCCATGATCATTTGTCCAACAACTTTTAGTCTTTAAAAGTTTGAAAAGCTGACTTTTATTAAAATTTTTAACAGCTTAAAGTGATATATTGTCTGGGTTGGTGTTGTATATTATGCTACAAAACCTTATGATATATTATTGACTAACAGAATATATTTTTTGTTATTTTACTGACTTATTTCTCTGTATATTATTTCTTATACATTATATTAATTCAAGTGACTAAAATGTCAATAAAAGTTAAATTTTTGGACATTAAAAGCCAACATTGCAGAGATCAAGGTCCCATAATGCAAATCACAATCTAAATAAATGGAAAACACTTGCGAATCACAAAATATGGAAACTGTTAATTAACAGATGTTCCCCTTCGGGGGGAACTTCAGCACTATAAGTGGATTTGATTGTAAAATCCACGCATTGGGAGGTTCGGTTCAGAAGCTACTCGTCTGAAAGAGTATTGAACGGGCCAATTAAGAATGAATTGGCAGCGCAAGCCTGCGCAGGTGAGCGGCATAAGCAATCAACTGAGTATATAAGCTCACCTGGCGCCAGCAGACGCTATCCTTTTCGCTTCAGAGACTTTCTGATCGAGTCGATGAGGGTTCCTCCTGCTGTGACCAGCGATTCTGAGCGAACGAGAGCATTCTCCCGGTCCAGAGTGTGTACACGCAGTGGCAGACGGTCGAGCTGGGTTTCTCCCTTGCCTGGCGTTCTTTGGGTCCGGTCCTCCAGAGCGGTGCGTATAAAGTTGCAAACTTCACAGAAAGAGCAACACAGTCGTGCAGCACGTCCTTATCAGGACGGCGCTCCGACTGTGCGTTTCTGGATGCGGTGGTTTCCTGTCCTCGGATGATGGGCGCGGGCACTGCGTTACATGTCTGGGGGTCCAGCATGTTAATGCGCTGCTCGCGGGCAGTTCATGTCGTCATTGCGATGCCATGACTGTTGCGCAAGATCGCGGTTAGCCTTTGCAAAAGGGCGAACCACCCCAGTTGTCCCCTGCTCTGCAGCGGGCACTCGGGCAGATCTGAGGGTTTCAGCGAGAGATAATCCGTCGCCCACGGGCCCGCGGACCTCCCGCTCCTCTAAGCGCTCCATCCAAGCTTCGGGCGGGGGAAGCTATCCGTCTAACAGATGGTAGCCCTTACGCCCGATGACACCGGAGACCAGATGTCCACCGCGGCATCGGAGGGTGGGCTTTCATTGTCCGATGATGATCCAGACCCGCTCGCCCCCTTCGGGCTGGTGAGCGCTGTCACTACGGATCCTGAAACGGACATGTTAGCCGTGCTTTCCCGGGCTGCTTCGGCCGTGGGTTGGAGATGGTTTATCCCCCAGCTCCGCGGCCGGACCGACTAGAGGGGCGTTCCCTTCTTCCCGGAGGTGCACAGTAGGCTCACGCGGTCTTGTAAAGCACTTTTTTCTGCTCGTGCTGCGTGTTCCTCCACCCTAACCACTCTTGACGGTGAAACAGCCAGGGGGTATGTGGCGATTCCTCAGGTTGAGTGCGCGATGGCGGCGCCTCTTCTTGGCGGGGTCCGCCTCGTCTCCCATCCAAAGCCTGTAAGTTATCTACCTCCCTCGGAGCTAGAGCTTACATAGCTGCGGGCCAGGCTGCTTCCGCCTTGCATGCGATAGCCACCTACCAGCGCTACCAAGCGCAGGCGCTGGCCGAGCTGCACGAGGGTGGGTCCAACCCAGGCTTACGAGCTTCGCACCGCCGCCGACTTAGCTCTTCGGACTACTGAGTCCGCTGCGTGTGCGTTGGGGAGGACGATGTCCACATTAGTGGTCCAGGAGCGCCACCCCTGGCTGATATGCGCAAAGTCGACAAAGTCCTCTTTCTTGACTTCCCCATATCCCCAGCCAGGTTCGGCGACACTGTCTGTGAATTCACCCAGGAATTCAAGGCGGTGAGAGAGCAGTTGGTGGGTGATGTCTTATCGGCGGTCCGTAGCCCGCTCCGCCCGCCGTGCCATTCATACCTGCTCCTCGCCGAAGGCGCCCGCCTACGAGAGCTGCTCTGCCCCCGCACACGCCTCCGGCGAAGCGAGCGCGTCGGGCACCTCGGAAGCAGGCAGCCCCCCTGCCCAGAACGCCGCTAAGTCCGGCAACGGACCGCGAAGCGCCCCTGGGACAGGCCATCTGGAGAAGAGGGAACTTGCTCTTTCCCCGCTGGAGGGCGGGGCCCCATTTCCAACGGCAGTTTTTACTGCCATGAAAACATTATGAAAGGGCACTTTTCACTTCCCCAGATGTGACAGCCCGAAATCTGCCAGTCTGGGACGCTATGCTTTCTAGCTTGCAGATTCGGTGCGTTTCGCCAGTGGCTCACGAGCGCTGGGAGGACGGTCTCCTTTCTCCCACCCCTCGAGCCTCCCCTCCGGAGCTCGGGTTTGGAGTGAGAGCAAATATCTCACCTCCAGCTTTTCCGTGGGACCCGCGAGCTTCCCGGATCAGCACACCCACTCCGCGCTGCCCCACTGCTGGTACGTCAGCGATTGTAGCGATGAGTCCATTAGCGAGAGCTCTGCCTGCCTGGTTAGCGCGGGCCAGCTCTTCGCGGTGGCTCATACGCACAATCAGACTCGGCTATGCGATTCAGTTCGCGAAACGGCCCCCCAAGTCACGGGTGTGTATTCACCAGGGTCAGCCCCCTGTCCGCCCCTGTCTTGCGAGAGGAGATTGCTGTATTCCTGGCGAAGGATGCAATCGAGCCGCTCCCTCCAGCCGAGATGGAGAGCGGGTTTTACAGCCCACGCTTCATCGTGCCCAAAAAGAGCGGTGGGTCACGGCCAATCCTAGATCTGCGCGTTTTGAACCGCTGCCTGCACAAGCTGCCGTTCAGAATGCTCACGCAGAAGCGCATCCTCCGGTGCGTTCGTCCTCTGGGTTGGTCTGCAGCATTAGACCTGATGGACGCGTATTTCCATGTCTCCACTCTTCCTCGCCACCGACAGTTTCTGCGGTTTGCGTTTGAAGGTCGAGCTTGGCAATACAAAGCCCTCCCCTTCGGGCTTTCTCTGTCTCCGCGGGTCCTCACCAAGCCCGCGGAGGGTGCCTCAGTGCCCCTTCGGCTCGCGGGCATCTGCATACTCAATTTCTTTACGACTGGCTGATTTTTGCCCTCTCTCGGAGCAGTTGATTATGCACAGAGACAAAGTGCTCTGGCACTTCCACCTGTGGGGGTTTCAGGTCAACCGAGAAAAGAGCAAACTCGCCCCCGTGCAGAGGATCTCTTCTCTCGGGCTGGAGCTGGACTCGGTCACCATGGCAGCGCGCCTCTCCGGAGAGCGCGCTCAGCTTATGCTGTACTGTCTGAGAGAGCTCGACAGTAAAATAGAGGTCCCACTGAAACTATTTCAGAGGCTCCTGGGGCATATGGCATCCGCAGCCGCTTCATGCCGCTCGGATTATTCTATATGAGACCACTTCAGCACTGGCTTCACGATCGAGTCCCCAGACGCGCATGGCACGCGCGCGCACACCGAGTCTCTGTTACTGCGCTGTGTCGCCGCGCCCTCAGCCCTTGGAGCGACCCCTCGTTCCTACAGGCCTGGGTGTCTCTAGAACAGGCGTCCAGTCTTGTTGTCGTTTCAGCAGACACTTCCAACACGGGCTGGGGGGCTGTGCGTTGCGGGCATGCGGCTGCGGACCTGTGGAAAGGTACCCAGTTGCATTGGCATATCGCCTGGAGCTGTTGGCAGTGTTCCTCGCTCTCCACCGTTTTTTTTCCGGTGCTGGAGCGGCAACACGTGCTGGTCAGGACGGACAGTACGGCGGCGGTGGCGTATATCAGCCGTATAGGGGGTATGCGCTCTCGCCGCATGTCTCAGCTCGCCCGCCGTCTGCTCCTCTGGAGTCATCCGCGGCTGAAATCGCTGCACGCCATTCATATTCAGGCAAGCTCAACCGTGCAGCCGATGCGCTCTCACGGCAGCCTTGCGTCCTGGAGAATGGAGACTCCACCCCGAGTCTGTTCAGCTGATATGGGCGCGATTCGGGGAAGCCCAGATCGATCTGTTGCTTCCCCCGAGATCGCTCATTGCCAGTTGTTCTTTCCCTGACCGAGTGCTCTCGGCACGGATGCACTGGCTTACAGCTGGCCTCGGGGCACGCGCAAATACGCGTTTCCCCCAGTGAGCCTGCTCGCGCAGTTACTGTGCAAGGTCAGGGAGGACG